GAGAGAAGCTCGTATATGTTACAATCACTAAGCCGGACCTCTCCTACGGTGTACATCTCCTAAGCCAATTCATGCATAGGTCAAAGCAATCACATTTGGCGGTAGCTCACGGGGTCCTAAGGTATCTAAAAGGAGATTCAAGAATGGGATTGATGATGTCTTCTACAAGCCAAATGAAACTAAAGGTGTATTGTGATTAAGATTGGGCATCTTGCTATATGATAAGGAAATCAATTTCGGGATTTCTTGTCAAGCTAGGGGATTCTACAATATCATGGAAGACAAAGAAGCAAAACACTATCTCCGAGTTCATCGGCGGAATCGGAATATAGGGCAATGGAAAATGCGAGTATATGAGATAATGTGGATAGTGAGGTTATTTGAAGACTTAGGAGAGGAAAGCTTAAAGCCACCAACACTACATTGTGACAATAAGTCAGCTCTATTCATTGCTAGCAATCTAGTCTTTCATGAGAGAACAAAGCATATAGACTTGGATTGCCACTTAGTAAGGGAATAACTTAACAAGGGTCTACTTGTCACTAAACACATACATACGGATGAGCAACCAACATACCTTCTTACAAAAGGTCTAGGCGATAAACAACACAAACACTTATTAACCAAGTTTGGCATTAGAAACATATATACTATTGTCAAACTTGAGGGGGAGTGTTAAAATATTCATGTGCAATGTGTGCGTGTGGAAAATATACATGGTGGTATGCATGGAATAGTAACATAATGAATTGAGAGCGAGAGTTAGTTATACGCACCATGCACACCGGGTGTTTGTTATATTGATCGACGCACACGGACTCGAAGAGTGTCGGTTGTCAATTGTTCCAAGAATCTCGGAGTTGGGAAAATTCTTCATTTCGGAGACTCGCATCAACCAATGATGAGCACGCAAGGAATGATGCGGTTAGATAGTTTGTTATTCAATTTTCTTATTGTAAATATTCTAGAACATACACTCGTTGTATAAAAGAGAAAACTTACAAGAACTGTAGAGTATGATTTTGAATCATCAATGCAAATACATTTCTCTTCTCTATGTTTCTTTGTCTTCGCTATATCCGATTCCTCTATTTTAACATATATGGTAAGGTTGACGACAAAGCAATTTCTTACCATATTTCCATGGATGCTTTTGAATATTGAACTTTGAACACAACCAAGAGTTTCACTTGCAAGCGAGAGAAATGTTTAAGCGTCTCGACAAGCTCATCAACTAGCGCAACTATTGGCTCGAAGACAAAAAAGCTTATTTCCAAATTTCGTTGTTGAAAGGCACTAAAACATGCCATCTCTTCCTTCCTGTGCCTTTTCCTTTCTTGTTCCTGTCTCGGAATGAATCAAAAGCACTATTTTTTATTTTATTTTATTTTATTTATCAAAGAGGGGCACTACTTTTAGCTAAAGGATTATGGGATAAGAAAGTTATTTTGTTGTGTGGATCATTAGATACGTGATGCTTGAATTTGGACTGAAGCATTCAAATGGTCGTGGCAATTGCTCGGTCTTTGTGACTACTACGAAAAATTTATTTGGGACAAGAAAACTAAGAAATTATTGAGACTTTAGAAGTAGACATACCACTAGATTTTTTACCCGTGCTATGCTACGGGTTGGATAAAATATATAAAATTATTTAAAAAATTTCTTTCGAGTTTGATAATCTATTTTATGGTGTAAATCTATAAAAGCATATGAAATCAAAAGCTGAAAAAAAATATTTATAATTTTTTTAATCAAAAATATTTATAATTTTTTAATCAAAATTTTTTATTTAACTATTTTTTATTTATGTTTTTTCATAATTTTTCCTTTAGAAAAAGGATTTATCCTTGTTAATCTGTGGATTATTAACTAAAACGAAAATTAAATAATTTTTTTAAAAAAAGCTTTAATATCTCATAAGATTGTGTCGAAAAACAATTATTAAAAACTTATATAGAATTGAACAAATAATTTTTTTATATTTAATGTTGATGAGAATATCGATTTTTGAAAAAAAAAGTGTTAATTTAATTTTTATAGATTTATTTACAAAACAAATGAATAATATTAAAATAAATCAAAATTGTCAATAAATATAATTTTAAATCAATTGGATGAGAATTTAAAAAATGAAAAATTAAGTAGTAAATTTTAAATAATAAAAATAATTAACAAAAAATACTAAAACAAAATAGAACCAAATCACAATACAATTAAAGTTTGAAATTAAAAAAAAAATGTATAGAAAAATTGAGAACCATATAATTTTATGTTAATTGGATGAGAATTAAAAAAAAAAGACAAATTAAAGTAACAAAATGGGACCAAATCACAATACAATTAAAGTTTAAAATTAAAAAAAAATATATAAAAAAATTAAGGATCAAAGTGTTACAAAAATGTCAAGAATAATGAAAAGAATAGTGATTTATGAGTATATAAATAATAATTTATGAGTATATGAACAGTATTTTACGAGTATTTTGAGTATGATATATATATATATATATATATATATATATCATGACCATACTTAGTGGGTTTAGAATATGCATCATAAATAAAAGAATATTAAAAAAAATGACAAGAAATATGTTAAAATTAATAGAATTAAATAAAAAACAACAAAATTAATTTTGATAATTTTAATTATATAAAGAATGAGCAAATAAACATATGATTTTTTTGATTAATTTTTCTATTAAATGGGCTAGGGTGTCTCATACTAAGTATGTGATTTTTAAATAATCCAAATTAGATAGAAATCTAATCCTATTAAATAGAAAATTTTAATTTTACTTCAAATTTTATTTTAAAATTATTTGTACTAAATAATTTGTTTAAAAATATTCTTACTTTAATCGATCAATAGGTGTAAACCTTTGTTATATTTTACTTCAAATATATTGATACCAACTCTAAAGCTCTTTTATTATTATTAAAAAAAGAAGCAAGGATATCATTATTTCATTTACTATTAAAAACAAAGGTAGTTTAGTTAAGGAATTAAAAAATAACATGCATCAATTATTTGCAAGCAAAAGAAAGTTACCAAAAAGGAAAAGAAAACAAAGGAATGAAAGGAAAGAAACAAAGAGCCAATGAGGTAAAATAACACAACAATAAATGGCATCAAAGAAAATAAGGCAAAAACATAAGGGCGAAAAAAAAAAAGAAGACAACTTTAGTGGGGTGGCAAATTACTGCATGCGGGTTGGCTGTTGGGTTCAGAAAAAAAAAAAAAAAAAAAAAAGCAGTAAAAATAGCTTGTGTTTTAGAGTATTAATAATTAGTCTTGCTTTTTTACTGTTTCTAGATCTCACAAACACATGATCAAAAATACGACAGAAAATATTTCAAACTTGTTAATGTGGTAAGAAATTGGGCCCCAGCGGAACCAAACGATTTTTATCTTCTTCTGCGAATCGACCAGACTCAAAGTCTGCCAAACTTATCTTCTTCTGTTAACAAGAACAATTCTGACCAGGAAACTTCTTTTTTTTTTCGGTTTTCCTTTTGTTTGGTCCTTTTTTTTTTTTTTTTTAATATCAATATTTACCCCATTTCACTTCTTTTCTGTAGTCTAGGTGCCACATAACATGATGTGAGATCCTCTTAGAATTTCCGTAGGCAGTTACTTGTCCCACAAGCAAGAGTGAGAAATCAAAAAGGGACTACTTATTTTTTTCCGGACAAGCACATATAATATATATGTTGGCGTACTTTACAGGCTAGAATTAAAGCAAGCAAGCGGTCATGCGCTCAGAAGTGAAATTTGGGTTCCATTCCAATTTACTGGACTTGAATATCTAATTTGAACTCATCGCATCTTTATCTTAAGACACGCTAACGACCAGCATTTCTCAACTTCGGAGCCGAACAGTTAGGATGACTTGGCACTAGAGGGATTGTTAGGACCAAAATTAGGAATTTCATTCATAGTAGACAAAAACTACTTGCTAAAAAATAATATAAAATTATTCTTAATGTTTTGGATTAAAATAATTTTTTAATATAATATCAAAATTTTAATAATCAAATAGTTACAAATTAAAAGCTCACTGTCTCAACTTTCTTCTAAATAAATTATAGAACGTTACAAGTTTCAAGTGTAAATAACTCACTCCAAATAATGTGTTAAAAAACAATATAAAATAATTTTTGAAACCTCCCTAATAAATTAAGCTTTTGAGTTGAGAATTGTGATGGCTTTTTTTAACACGGGCTGTTTCTGCTAGACCTATACTTTCAGCAGTCATTGCATGTAAATTTCACATTAATAAAGAAATTCAGAACACTGAATATTTCCTCCTAGAATATGTTTGATTGATATCAATCGCTAGTCAATACCCTTCATCCACTTCCTTAACTGTCTTCCATATAAAAATAATTGTTTTCATCACTGAATTTAATATGAGCTGCTGAACCTATAAATAGCTTGAATTTGTCTATTCCTCCCACCAGAATGGGATGACTGCTAATAATACTTGTGTATACGGGAAAATTAGTTGGTTCATATGTCAACCTTTCAACCTGCACAGGCAAGCAGACAAAACAATTTATCAATTTCTATATAATAATTATTATTATTACAGAACTTAATGGAAAAAAGAACCAAAGGACAACGGTTCAGAGTTCAAAATTTTTATTTTTCTGAAAAAAAAAAAAACAAATAAATAAATACAAACGTCCATTAACCATTGACACATAACGAAAGTCAGTTGAGATTCGTGTACATATGTCATCACTCAAAAACATTTTAATGCGTTCAGTGCAGGCATGGTTCTAGTTTTGAGATTATAAATTTATCCATGGCTAGAAGGATCGACCTATATCATACTTCTTTAACAAGTAGGGCAACTTAACAAGTATGGTATCCACCTTTATTAAGGAAAGAGAGATACTGAACATGTGCTTAAGAGTTGTGGGAAAAAGAAAAAAAGAAAAAGGATAAGCTTAAAATAGTGAATGTAATGCTCTCATTGATCCACAAACCTTTATGATAGGTCTACAGGAATTCTCAGACCATCATGCGCGAGCTGCACTGGTATTCCTTCCCTGCATGGAAACAATGAAAAGAACATATTCTTTGATCTATTGTAAACAAAAGAATAAAAGCAAAAGACAAGAACACAAAATGTTAACCATACCCAACCATACTAGTTCGATCTATTTTCAATAGCATATCATGTCAATTATGATCAGAATATACGAGGAAAACCAGATCATGATCATCTGAAGCAAAGTTTATACCTTTGAGACCATTCCATTAGATAGTCATTGTCCTTGTAATGATCAAACTCATGAGTCATTCCAATTAAAAGAGCTCGTTTTGGGCATAATCTCTTCACCGTCTCTAAAGTCTGCATATTAACCATAAAATGTGACAGTAGAAGAATGAAAACAATCCAAATATCACAAAATGAAGAACTAAAAAACAAACCTGAGGGAGGCAAAAGTGTGTATTATGTGATCCATTCTGCACAGGAGGGAAAAAGATTGGTGATTATGTGATAAAAATTCCTGGAAGATACCAAAAAGTTGTAAAGCAAAATAGCAACATGAAATCTGCTAAGTTGCCTAGACGTATGAACTAAATGCATATTTATCAACATGAAATCTGCTAAGTTGCCTAGCTTTATGAACTAAATAAATATGCATTATACAAGTTGGTCAAAATTAGAATACGGACCAAATTTATTGATCAAAGTCAAACAACATGAAATATATTCAGACAAATGAGTCGCCATAAAATTTTTGCATAAAAGAAGAAATGTTTAATAAAAAGGTGGAATGAATGGTAAAAAATTGGAAGACGAGACACCCCCCCCCCCCCCCGAGGTAGCAAAAATAAACAACAGTCTAGTCAAAATATCAATCCACTCCAATCCCTTCGAATTTTGCATGCTAAATATAAATAAATCATTATCAAGAGAACCCTTACTTCCATGATTAGAGCAATGTGTGTCTGTGGCTTGAATACTGACGTCATTTTGGTCAAGCTTCCAAGAGTACCTATTGCCATAATTTGATTAATGGATCTTTTTATTTTTATTTTTTTTGGTTCAAAAGACCATATGGCCTTAAGCTATACTACAAGAACTGCCCTTCCTTAAATCCCTTCCTCCCATCATGATTAAGAGCAATGTGTGCATAATAAATATTGACCACTGAAGTCATTTTGCCCATGTTTCGAAACGGAATTAATTGCAATAGATTGAAATGAATCTTCTGCCATTTTTGGTTCATTTGAAGGCTATAGGGCTGTGAGCTCTACAACAAGAAGTCACCCTTCCCTTCTCTCCTATCTCACATACAAGCAGCATTTGATCCAAAGTCACTTGGAACAACACCAAGCTACTTTACTATCAATGACAATCAGTACCACATGAGGCTGGCTCATACGAAAATGTATGTTTAGTCGAAAACCAAATGTTCATTTCCTGAATGGCTTTGTCGATTAATCTATTTCATCAGAAAAGGCATGGACAGCTCTAATTTTGATTTTCGTCCAGAGTTACGATTATATCAATGCAAGTCCCTAAATTTTCACTGCTTTTAAGATTCCATATGGAGTATAGGATGGAGGGCAGAAAAGGGCTCTAACAAAGTGTCATTTTCTGCACAAGCTACTTCCATCAGTGAACCAGAAGCCCAATATAAATTACCACACACCTACCAAACAGAAGAATAAAACAAGAAGATGAGCAAGAACAAAGTGCCCAAATTTAAAGAATCGAATTCACTAAATATCACAAAAATAATAAACATACACAATCATTTATTGGTGCAGGGGAGAGAGTATACATTGTTAGATTATTAAAGAGAGATAAAGGTACAGAAAAAAAAAAAATGCAATGAAATGTGGAATGCAATTGCATATTTTCACTCAAAATCCTAAATCAGATTACTGTTTTTAGTGCCAGAATGGTCAGCCTTCCATCTTGGCTGGCAATTGCTGGGTGTACGTTTCAGCCTCCACCGAATATAAGTTAAACAATTAGATGCAAGTGTCAGAATAATGAAGTCTAAAACTTAAAATGATGAATGATGAAACCTGGGGCACAGGACTGGAATTCAGAGCAACTAAATGGGCCATTTTGCAAGTTACTCCATTACTTTATATACTTTCACAAAAGACTAAGTTTGCAGAAGAATACCGAAAGGGGAAAACACTTGTATAATTTTTGTAAGCGTTTGCATGCATGTATGTTTCAACATTTTTGGTAGAATTTGCATGCATGCCGGAACATGAACCGTGCGAAAGAATGTGTACATATAGATGAGTCAGCATGTGAAAACCTTTAGGATATTTTACATCTCACTCTGAAGTTATTCGATATCTCAATCAATATTCATGGGATTCAAAGAGGGAAAATCAGATATTAGAATATAAACAATTTTTGCAACTGACCCTGTACAAAGTGTCCAAAATAAGAATATCCAGCTGCCCTGCACCAGCTTTGGAAATTACTGCAAAAAACAATGTCCACTAAATCAAAAATCTGCCAACATGAAAGAACTCAAGAACACCATCCTCTTTTTATGCATTCCATTGCAAAATCTATCTCCACAGGATGATGACTCATCTCCATTTGTGCACAAAATTAATGAACTCTTGACATGCCTAAAGAGTGTAAATATGCTTCCAAATAAAATTTCACAAGAAAAATAACCAAAAGTAACACTAACCATGCTCTGTGCTAGATGGAATGCGTGAAACATCAGATATATAAGCTACTCTACATTTTTCACCAAAGAGAAAACCCAGAGAAATATAATCTTCTCCATGCATAACCTACATTACAGAACAGAGATTACATAAGCATAAGGACCAAGGACGGAGAGAAATAGTGAATTAGTAGTTTATACATATATTTTAAGAAAGGTTCAGGGCTAGTAACTGGCAAAGGAACAAACTGTATGCCCGATGCAACAAATGGTCTCTGATAGTCTTCCTCAATTATCTGCCAGTCCAGCTGTGCTACTCGTCTTATTTCCTGACCTGGCTTCAATTTTTTTTGTACCAAGTAAGGGAATTTCTCTGCAATGCTGTTTCAAAGGCAAAACATACACTGACATTAAGTGATTTTAAAATTCTGATTGAAGTTAGCGTGTAAAGCATATTATAATAAATCAAAGGCAGAGCACATCACTTGCATAGGTTATATGATCAGGAATTCTAAGTAAGACATCTTCGTTGTTTTTACAGAACTGTGATAATAATCAAGAAACCAACAATTTGAGATTTCAGTGGGTTGGGTGGCAGTCCCAGAAACAGCTGAAGAGAAATTTGGTTTCAATGTATTCAGTTCTATAATTGCATCATTGTAACTCGACAGGCAGGAAAAAAGTTCTCTTTCCTCTTTTAAAGCTTAAAATCTTATCATATATATAAATCTTAACACATCAACATCAATTTATTTTCATTATGATGTTTAGAAAATGGGTGTGTAGATAAAGATGAAGAAAGGCAGGCTGATAAGATTGGAGCATATTATCATTAACTTGACCTTCAATCCTAGGTTGATTTTCTCAAAATTCCCCACCACGAAATGATGAGCAGACCAAAGCATCAAATGATCATAATTATTAACACCTCAACATCTCCTGCCCATACTAAAGGTGATCTATGAACCTGTCTGAAAACAGCATGCAAGGTACCCCAGAAGAAGAGAAAAGTTACCTATCCATTGCATGCCTACTTAGGTAGATGGGAGTGGGATCAATGTCATTTGTAGGGCTATAAGGTTGCACAGCACGTATGTCGTCAAGACCAAGAACTGCATCCGCATGTTCATGAGTCAAAATGACCTGCAGTTGATACCAAAAATGAGTCCAAGTAGCCTCAGAAGTATTGGGCCTCAACTAGTAAGCAAAATGAGAAATAATATAACAAAAAGATAGTATAAAACTTGGCGTAAGCATCTGCAACATAATTCCGTTCAAGTATGTAATGAAAAAGAAATGCAGTTTAGTTAGGCAGATTAAAGATCTCTCATCTCTCTAACAAAAATGTTACCAACGTCCTGGTCAAACAACTCGCAAAAATAAGATCTTTTGGGAAATGTATGACTCCATAATTATTTATTTACAAAGGAAAGCAGAAAGAACAAATTATAGAATGAAAACTTACAGAATCAACACGAGGAATGTTGTGGAAAGTAAACCACCTAAGAACTTGCTCCCTAAATGTCTTGCCCACATCAATCAATATATAGCTGTGTCTATTATCACTCTCGCTGTAGTAATCTATAAGAAGTGATGTATTGCACCTTCAAATTTGAATTTGAATTAAAAAAAAAAAAAACAAATTCCTATCAATACATACATAAATCATTACAACCAAATAAATATTTTTTAACAAACCACATTATCATCATTATTATTGAATACGAACCAACCTGTAGTTAGGGTTTTGGATGGACGGGACGGAGATGGCTGGAGAGCAAACGGAGCAGGGAGGATCTGAGGGCTGGAGGAGGCACCTGGCGTTGGGGACGGCGCTCGAGCACCCCGTACCAAGGAAGATCAGAGCCGATCCGTTGTTACAAATGTTGCTGCCGTTTTGGGACTCCATTTCTAATTGATTGGAGACTGGAGAAGGAAAAAACGTGAGAGAAAGAAAAGGTTGGGGTTGGGGGGAGACAAAGTGGAGAAAGAAGGTGGAGGAACTTCTTCTCAGGAATTTTTGTATTTATTTGACCCCATAACAGTCTCCCCCGCCAAAGGATGCGCTGCTCGTGAAACGCGTTACCCACCTAGTACCGCGGATTATTCAGCAGTTTGGGTCCTTCTACTTTTAATTTTCTACACGAAAGGCCCATCTTGAAATAACTTTCTTAATCCAACCCCTATACTTCAAGTCCATTCATACCTTTGGTGCATAAATATAAAAATAAATTCAATTCAGATCTTAGATTTTTAATAAATAGATTAAACAAAATGGCATAAAAAACTAATTTTAATTTATATTTTATCTTTGTAGGATTGTGAATAATTCATTAAATGTATTAATTCAATTGAGATGCACATTACGAGGCACTTATGATCGTTGCGACAATAATTTTACATTTATTTTATTTTATAATTATCTTTTAATTTTAATCCACTTCTTTACAAGTAGACGAGTAATTGATACGGACGGAAGAACTAACTTTGTTGATAGACTTGAAGTATAGGGGTTAAAAACACTTACTATAATTTCCTAAACACTTATTGATTATCGAATAACCTTTTGAATTGATTAAAAGAATTTTAATTTAAATAAAAAAGAGTACACATTTGGTCTCTCAAGTTTCACTTTTATCCTTTATACTGCAAAACCGATTACGAAATACAACCCCATACTTTCATATATATATATATATATATATATGCGGGAATAGTTACCAATGCCCAATTTGTTTGTAGGAAGAAAAATACATTTCAAATTTTTTATATTTGATAATTTCTTAAAATATAAGTGCATGGTGGAAAAGTTTTTTAAATTCATTCTAAGAAAAGCATAAAGCTTGTCATAACATATTTTCGATCTCTTAATATTTGTTTTAAATCTTTATTTTAACTTCTTCAATAATGTAGATTTCTCATGATTTTTTATTATTATTCTTATTTTGTTATTCATATTCTTATTATTAGGTTTGTTTGAACTTCTTCAATAATGTAGATTTCTCCGATCCCCTAATGTTCATGTGGGAACCTTGTTCGGATTTGATGGTAGGCCAACAAGTCTCATATGTTAGGGATAGATGGAGGCCTAATAAGATTCTAAAAAAACTATAATTAATTTTGCATGCCAAAAAAATAATAATTAAATCTCATTTTGTTAAGCTTTTTATTGTTGCATTTCGCACTAGGATTGTGTTATTTTGCATTATAGATCTTGCATTCTCACATATAATATTTTTTATATATAATTTTATATTGGATTCTAGCATATTTGTATATATACTTTTATAGTAAAAATTAATTAGATTTGATATTGATTAGAGTCCTAATTTTATAGTATGACAACAATTTACCGAGATTCTACGAATAATTCAATAAATTTTATTTTTCATTTTTCATTTTTGATTTCCTATTGAGATTGTAATTTTCAAAAACCTTGAGTTAGGTCGAGCCACACAAAAACCTAAAGGCCAAATAAATGAAAACACGCATTCGAACCCATATTTCAACTATGCCAATTTTAAGTTCCAAAACACTAAACAAACAAATGTGAAAAACTAATTCAAGATAAATTAATTCAAGATAGAATGTCATAAGAAGATTATCTTCTAGGTTGGAAGTGGTATGATTAAGAATTTCTTGAGGAGGAGCGACTTCCTTTTTATTGATGAAACTAGCTAGACTTTGGTCGTTACGAAGTGGTAAAAACTATATTTTTCAAGAGACATAATTTGTGGAGGTTAGTTTAATAGAAAAGAAATGATTTTTATGATGATTAGGGAGGGAAGAGGCTTAGGAGGAACAACAATAGCTATCAAGATATAAATATAAGTCTAGAATATCTTTAAAGTTGTATCTCTTTCATTTACTATTCATATATAATTACAAAGTATTCTTACGTGTATCAAATGTCTGAACTACATAATAGTAATAATAACAACAACAACAACATCATACAATCAAGACTCTAATTTTAAACTATAAGAGATTAGAAGATCACATCAATTGAAATATAAATAGCTTAACACATTTTAATCAAATATACCGATTACAAATAATAATAATAAATAAATAAATAGAAAACATGCTATATAGCTCTAATTATTTTATGAAACATCATAGCTCAACCAAATTGCATCATCAATTCATTTTATTTAAAAACTAACATGTAACTATTGATGTTCATTATATGAAAATAAGTTGTAATCAAATCAATAAGATACTAGAAAATAGAAGGTGAAAAGAATTTCTTTTATCATTTTTTGATATATCATTGAATGAGTACAATTCAACTCCATTTTAGATGAATTTCTCAATAGAAATCATGAGAAAATATTTTATGAAACTATACCAAAGGTAGAAAAAAGAACCATTTTGTTAATGCTTTAGGAATCCTCGCTTATATGATCGAAATAGAATGCGGTGTGAAAATTCAGCCCATACGTATCAAAACTACAAACGCCCTAGCATATTGATGTCGTCTAATTAAAGAGGAAGCTGGATGGGAAGCCATGATATCATGACATCAAGTAGTTCATCAAAAGCTACGAATATCTATCGGACGCAACCAAGAATGATAAAAAATGCTCAAAAGGTTAGCAATGAATTTTTATCTTGATAATAAGATTCTATACAAAATAAGTTTTGATGGCTCTCTATCGAGTTGTCTAGATGCAACCAAAGAAAATAAGACTATAAGAGAGGTCCTTAAAGGAATTTGTGTTACACACACTAGTCGAATATAATGACTCAATAGATTCAATAATGGCTACTTTTGGACCACCAAGGAAAAAGATTGCATTGATTATTTATGAAAAAGTCACAAGTGTTAGATTTGTGTCAATCGGATAAATGTTCCACCAAGCACCTTTTTTCAATATGGTATCACCTTGGCCATTTATGATATGAGGTATGGATTTCATTGGATCGATGAACCCTAACGAAAGCGACAAGCAATGCTTTATTCCTATAGAAATTGATTACTTCACCAAGTGGGTTGAAGCTTTTTTTTTTTTTTTTGGCATATGTAACTCGAAGGTGGCATGTCAATTTGTCAAGAAAGATATCTTTTGTAGATATGGCTTTCTTAAAACTGCGGTAATAGATAATGCTTAGAACTTTAATGAAAAAATCCTCATAGATTTACGTCAATGTTAGAAGATAAAGTATCATAATTCCTCTCTATATAGGCTTAAGATGAATGAGGTCGTGAAAGTAACAAATAAGAATTTGAAGAAGATTATCCAAAATATGGTGGTGACTTACAAAAATTGGCATGAGATGTTATCGTTTGCCTTACATACTTATTGAACAATAGTTATAATTTCAATAAGAGCAACTCCTTACCCTTTAGTATATGAAATGGAGGTAGTAATGCCTTTAGAAGTAGAAATACCTTCTTTAAGAATTCTAAGAAAAGAAGAATTAAAAGAATCTAAATGGGCAAAGATCTTATATGAATAGATGAATTTAATAAGTGAAAAATGACTTACTAACATTTATTATGCCCAACTGTATCAAGAAAGAATGGATAGAGCATACGATAAAAAGATGTGTTGGAGAAGGTTTCAAAAAACAGAACTTGTGATAAAGAAAGTTCTACAAATATCAAGGGTAGATCGAGTAAATGTGAGTCAAATTATGAAGCTCTATATGTAGTGAAAAGGACATTCTCAAGTGGAGCTCTTATTTTAACAAACATGAATGGTGATGAACTACCAAAGCCGGTGAATTCAAATACCGTAAAGAAATATTATGCATGAATTATAACTCTCTTCATTCAAAGTAATAAATTATTTATCAAAGTTTTGGTTAGTTTACTTTATATGTTAACATTTTCTTTAGCTTTTTATTTCTTTAAATGCCTCTCTTTATCATATATATGATTTTTGACTTTTTTTCAAAAACATATTTTCTAATGTGATTAGTTCTTAAAAGCCCTTTCTTTGATCTTTTACATGATGGTGTGTTAATATTGTCTATAAAAACTAACTAGTTTATTAAGTCATTCAAACTTAAAAGACATATAAATATAACTTAATTGTCACATATATGTGTTAACCTAAAACAAATCTTGGTTAGTATCCCATACAATTGTTAATCTATGTTAATTTAGAAACGTCTCTTGATTAGGTTTTTCACCTAAAGAAAATATCTTAGCTTAAGTGTCCATATATGTGTACACCTTAAGCTTTTATGGATTTTTCTAGAGTCGGCCAAAAAGGAAAATGAAAGGAAAAGTGCTAGGTTATTTGTAGTGTTTTTAGCCTTGATAAACATAAAACAACAAGAGAGGAAAATCAAATTTGCTAAGGAAAACAAACCTTGGTCGAGAGAGAGAAAGAGAGAGTTTGGCTAAAAGGAAGGGAAAAAGAGTTTGGTTGAGAGGAAGAGAGAAAGAGTTTGGCTGAGAGGAAGAAAATTTGGTAAGCTTATAGTCGGGAGAGAAACAATGGAAAAAGGTAAAATCTTTGAGAGCTTTAGGATGCTTTTCAATAATAGCTAAACCCTAAGATAAGCGTAGTCTCAACTTACCACAAGACTTAGATGTCATAGGGTTAATGTGTTTACTTGATGTTTGAATACTTGTGATGATGTCCTTACTTGATGTTTATACTTTAACTAGTGATATGTTTACATAATGATTAGTAAGTGTGGTCTAACCATTACAAGACATAGCTTTCATAGGTTTGATATGTTTGTGTGTTTATTTGATGATTAATTACTTGTGAAGATGTGTTTGCTTGATGTTATATTCAAGAGTTTACTTGATGATTAGTAAGTGTAATTCAACTTACCATAAGGCATAGATGTTATAGGATTGATGTATTTATAAATTGATACGTTTATGTGTTGATTTGATGAATGATCATTTTAATGATATGATTACTTAATGTTTTATTCTTTAAT